GCAGCAGGCAGTGTAACTGCAGTAAAATCTTGCATTGTTCTCTCTTTTCACATTCAGGTTCCTAGGTTATATAGACAAGATTGGAATAGCCTTCAATGATCCAACAATTGCCTGTGGATTTGGAGCATACCTTGCAGTGGTAAGAAGTCACTCATCAATATTAAATAAAATTTTCATCATTCCTGTGATATCACTTCACAGAGATGTAGATGTATCTTTATATTTCCCGCTTTAAAATTCAATAATGGCCATTTGCAATTTTTCTTGCAAACAAATCAATCACTTTCAGGTTGTTTGAGGTTGAAAAATTTTTAGCATGTCAGTCTGTTTTCCCTCTTTCCATCGTACTCTTGGATAAAGATTTCACAAACAATATTCTTGAATTTTGCACACAGCAGTTTTTCTTTTGAAACTTGCCTAGCAAAATATGTATGTAAACATTTGACATAATACAAGCTCAGAATGCAGATTTATGAGAGATGGCATGAAATTTTGATCATAACATCACAGTAAATTCATAACAATAACAGCTCATACTTATAAAAGATCATAATGATACAGAAGTAAATCTTATTGCTGAAGGGGAATAACTCTTATTTGGACTTGGAAAAATTGTAACAGATATTAAACTGATGTATTATTATATTGTAATTTAAGTAAAAAATATCAGCTTTATAGAGAAATTTTATGGGACTGTTTATACAAGAGAAAATAATTCAGACTGTGATCTCCAGAAATTTTTAGATCTAAAAAACCTAGATTGTCACTATTTTAGATTGATGATTTTCAGTTAAAATACATCAGATCTATGTTGAATACTATGGATTCTGATAATAAATTAAAAGTTTTTAATTAAAATTCAGTTATTTGAAAACCTTCAGATATCTTGAATTTGTCTGATGTCAGTCCTGTTGAGTTCAAAATAACAAAATCTTACATCAGGGTTCGAAATTAGCTCATGTCTGTAAGTCCGAGACTAGTGAAAATTGTGTTGGACTACTAAAATTCATGTAGCACTAGTCTGTACGGACTAGTGAAAATTCAATCTTAGTATTTTTCCACAATGTTTTCTTTCAAATGAACGCCTGTTTATCAGCACAAAAGTCTGCATTTTTATCATTAAACCAATGTGTAAACAATAACTAGAGAACTTAGTGAGCATAAGCATTTCAAGGATCAATGGGCGATTATGACAAAAAAAAATTAAAACTGCAAGATTTTCACGAAAGGATGGGCATGGTCGGGGAGGGGTAGTATTGTTTAGTCGCCATTCATTTTTTTTATTTACTTTCACAAAATCGTCTTCATTTATTTGAAAAGTAAATATATTGAAAATTTTCTCTGTTTAAAAGCTGTTTTTACAGCCTACAACAGTAGACTTTCTCAAAATCATAAGAGAAATCAACATGGGAATATGGGAATATCGTATCTTAATTAAGGCAATGAAAATTTAGTGTTGCAACACATCTGCATGTAAATGATCACAGATGATTTATAATGGTACAAATACAATAAACATTATTAAAAAAAATATTTACTAACACACTGATCACAGTTGTTAATCTGTAATGTTAGGTCAGGGGTGAGACTAATACCAGCAATGCACAAAAATATGTTAATCAACCTTTTTCTCCATTCTTTTTTGTTCTCTCTCTCAATGATACAGTTATAAAAATATGCGTTCATTATTTTAATTGTTTTTGACACTTTATGTTACTCCATATGTTAACATTTCCAAGGGGGGGGGGGGTTCTTTTTATGATTTAATAAAAAAAAAATTTTTTTTGATACCTTGCAAATTTATTATTTCTTTAGCTACAGATTAATTATAATTTAATTTCTTATTCCAAAAGTTTATCTCATAAAAGTAGTTCGGGGTGGGGGAGGGGGGTGTTTTAAAGTTACAAAGTAGGAGTATCGGTATGTTATCATTATCATAAGACAAAAGGTGGACCAACGGACTAGTGAAAACTGGAAGTTACTAGTCCATACGGACTAGTGCTTACAAAAGTTTATTTCGAACCCTGTACATGATTTGTATATTGATCTACTGTATATCAAACAATAATACATGTCTATGGGATCTATGGTCTTGACAGAATTTGAGTTTCAGCATTCAAATCTCAAACAAATTGGATATCTAATTAAGATAATTCATGTTTTAAAAACTATTTCCCATTGTTTTCTCTATACTAAGATTTTTTTTTCTAAGATATATAAAAAGTGTTTTGAGTACTGAATCTTTGTCTGATTGAAAGAAGTGTCTTTTACCATATATATGCATTTATTTTTTTTCTTCACTCTCATGCTGAAAATATTCATTTCTGTCAGAAGTGATCAGAGCTTTATGATAAATTGATTTACTATACATGCTATAGCTAACACTTTGCTTTCTTTTTGTAGCCTTTGCTGCGTGATGCTTATGAAGCCAATCCTAAAATGTCCCTAGCAGAGGCCGAGAAGAAGATAGATGAGTGTATGAAAGTGTTGTACTACAGGGACGCTCGATCTCTCAACAAGGTATACACAGATACTTAAAGGTTTCATTGACCTTATCAATTGATTTTGAATAGTAAATCACACAAATTTAATAGTTTTGTTCAAATCAAATTCATTATATATATGCAGTTGAAGTACAAATTTGGTACATGCATTCACTGTTATATTATCAGGGTTTGACACTAAGGCACGTCCGACCGACCCAGTCTAGTAAATGCGTGGTTCGGTCGTGTTAAATGTTCATGAACTAGACCGACTGGTCGTGTGGATTAAATAAATGTTAACCCTCATTTCAGTCTCTCAAATAAATGTTCTAAAAACTTTTTAAAGAAATTTTCTTAATTTTCCAATTGCAAACACAGCCATTGCTCTGAAAAAGAAAACTTCCCGGCATGAAACAATTGCTATTTTTGAGCCAGGCTGTAATAGACGAGTCACAATCGAAACTAGCTTTGTTCAGTATCATTTGGTATGAATAGTCATTGAATAATATAGTTTTTAAGTTATTTAATGTATATTTATGGTAATAATTTTATTTAAGTTCCTTGAATTAATGTTCTTTAAAGCTTATAATATTCGCATGTTGACTCATTGGGCTGCTACCTATGGGCTCGATGGGCTGCTACCTATGCAACAGTATGTCAAACTGGGTACATGAGCAAGTGCGAAAGATACACTGTAGTATGGTTTTGAAACTTTTTTTCCATTATAATAGCAGGTTATAAAAAGAAAATTTTTCAAGTTTGGTCAGGGCTAGTGATTTTATGGTCAGGGCTAGTAAAGATTATGGGAAGTAGCCCGACTGGTCTAGTATTCATAAAAGTTAATGTCAAAACCTGATTATAAATATGTATATGCAATTGAATGAAATTTCCTTTTTATATAATGATAGATTTTTTTAACCATACAGTGTATGTTTGAATGCCATTTCCTGCTGAAAGTGAATTGTTTTCAATTCTCTTTTGTTACTCTTTTCTTTTGTCCCTGTGACTAAGATCTATGGTGTGTTTTGCAGTATGAAGTCGTTATCATTACAAAGGACGGCACCATGGTGAAGTCCCCCATCGTATCAGAAACAAACTGGGAAGTAGCTCACATGATCAAGTAAGTGTCTACTTTTTTAAATTACACATTCAGTAATGAACAGAGAGTTTTGGCACCTATGCAATACAGGTTACTTTATGTACCCTTTACCATATCACACCCTGTTTCTGCTTTCCACAAATATCAGTCATTGGGCTTTTGGCCCTGTGGCTGATAATGGTCTCAAGCTGATACAGGGTATTATTTGTAAAAGGATTGTATTATTTTCTATATATTAAATGTGCAATTCTATCAGCAAATGCAAAATTCCAAACAAATACAGGACAGGTACTATTTTGCGCAGTCAGTAATACTTTGTGTGTGTTTTGACAGTATAACATTGCATTGTTACTGGGTTGAATTAATGTTTTGTATTTTTAATTTGAAAATAAGTCTTGTTTTCTTTTAATGTTTAAAATGAATTTCCATGGGTCATGATTTCTTTCTATTTAAATATTGAAATTTTTGTTATGTATGATATGCTACTACACATGTACATTATAGTATAAAATTATAGTAAAATATTGTAAGGGACAGCCATATTATTCTATTGTATGAGTAATTTGCTATACCCATTTAAAAGCTCACTGCAATTTAATTTTTGGTGGCAAAATGAAACTGTATTCAGTAGGGTGTTAGTATAATAAGCCATTAGAAAAATTCGATGTGATTTTGTCTTACAAAAAACATGAGCCCAGTGTCTGTTTGACTGTTGATTATATATTAAAGTGTTATTTATTTTCTTTGTTTTGTAGGGGCTATGAATGATACAGAGAAAGAACAATGCAATTTAGTGAATAAGTGTAATAAAATACATGTATGTAAAGAGGAGGATCTATAACAGATTCAAAGACTAATTTAAAAAAAATTGTCACACACTTCATTGAATAAAAATATTCCATCCTAATTACAAGACTTTAATTGTCTAATGAATATATCTTTTAACATCCTTGAATCTGTGAATATTCGGAATACTTACAAATCTTTCCTTTTATTATTTTTGCTTGCAGAATGATGATGTTTTAAAACTGATATAGAATGATAGAACATGTAAAATACAGTCTCTGGTGCAACTTGCAAGACATTAGTGATAGTCAGACCACTCTAGTCTCTCTAAATACCTTTTGATTATTGAGGGAGGGTGTTTATTTACAGCTCAGTTTACATGTATTTACTGTACTGTGTATTGACAGTGTTCCGTGCCATAAACAATGGCATGTTTATATACCCCGTTACATTGTTCATATCGGTATTCATAAGTACCATCAACTAATTTTTTTTTTTTTTTTTTTGCAGCTTGAGCAGAACAGTAGGACAGTAAATTTCATTTTTATTCAGTGACACTTAGAATGCAAGTACATATAAATAAAAACTTCTATAATAAATATCCGTTAAGATTGAACATAGTGACAAGACCTTTACATTATTGAACACAGTGAGTTGAACCACGATAATATTCTACTCTCTTTCCTCTGTTCCTCCATTTCCTGTTCTATCATGGATACTCTGCCCGCCAGTTCTGCTGTCCTGGAATTTATGTTATCTTCTAATGCTGCCAGCTCCTGACTGATATTAGATTGCATTCTCTGAAGTAGCCGCGTCAATGTTTCTTCACTTACTCCACCCTGTCCGTTTGAAGTATTGAATGCTGCTTCAGAGGGATTAAATTTCATAAGACAGTCACTTGGTAATCCTAAAGCGGATAAGACTTTATCTACGGGCGTCATCAGACAGGACCCGTATGACGTCACGGCGACTGCTAAACCCACACATTTCAAAATCACAGGACTGTTGTGAACTATCATGAAAACAAACGAGCCAGAATCACCATGAGTAATGAAGGGAGGGAAGGATTTCACGGTAAAATTATCCGAGGGGTACACAAGCGGAATTACCTCCATTTGATGATAAAATTTACATACATTGTCCGAGAACTTAACGTCTTTGTTCACAATAAATGCATGTGTCTCCATGCTTCGAAGTCGACCGAGAGTTAGACCTGTTGCAGCTCCACATTTTATTAAATCATTCCTGATATTATCAGATGAAATACTTGTAGTTTCGCCATTAGAGAATGTCGGTACGTTTGTTTCGGAAAAACCTAATCAAACAAAGGATAATTCATAAGTGATTTTGTAAAAAAAAAAAAATTGTATACATTTTCATGTGGATATATATTTAAAGGCAAACTGTTGCTTTAAACTTACCCATCTTTCTAATCTTTTCTTTGTTATCTTGTGTCCAGTCAATAGCAAAGTTGCCGCTCTCTGGAAATCGCGAACATAATTCGATCAAGGCTGCGTCAACGCTTACTTGTGTTTCTTCTCCAAATTGGAAAGCAGCTTTTTTCACCATCCCAACAGGTTCTCTCTGGGTTGTAATGCTTTTATCAGCTATCATCACTTCATTATTTTCGACAAAGTTTTGAACATTTCCATTTTGGAGAATATCGTTCGGGCAGACAACATGGGCACAAGTTATGAAACCTTTCCTTGATCCAGGGAGGTCCACAAATCCCCCAAGCGTACCAAAGTCAAACTGGGTATTCATGGGTCCTATTTTTTGTCCCAATTGTAATTTATCCTGGTTGCTTGCAAAGTCGCAATATCCTTCTCGTACATCCACAGGGAATTCTCCTATCTTTGTAGGGAATGGCGATTCCCCGAAAGGGACGATTCCCTTAACTCTACAATGAATTACAACACATGGACACATAGTTATCTGATGCTGAACTGTGTTAAAGGCCCGGGATTTGATACTAGATTGTGTGAGTAATGTTACATTGGAATGACTTGATATTTATTTTTCTATAGCACTGTCCGTTACTAGTGTTTGAATATTTAATGGCACTAAACATTCATGCTGCAAAAGGGCTTTTGCCTCAGCTGAACATGCGTTTTTGTCGCGAAACTTGACATAAAGGCCGCAAAATTTCGATATTTTTAATTTTTCTGCTGTCTGTGTATGTGTAATGACGACAAGGGTATCGAAAGGGGCGTTTTCTTTTTCAAGTAGGTTCGAGTATCCAACCCAGAGATCAAAAATCTTTAACGAGTTTTCATGTAGTTTCAAAAACAAGTTCTTGACCTCATTCACGAAACATTTCCTTAAGACATGGTCGCTGTTATCTATAAAATTACGAAGAAAATTGTCGAGCCACACTTTGTTACTTTTCCATGAAAATCTAACTGCTACTCGTATAAGCCACGAAGACTGAATGTTACAGCCAGTTTCCATAACAACTTCCTCAAAAGCCCTTCCGGTCTTTCGTTTCTCATCCTCGTATGCTTCTAGTAGTTTTTCTGACGGAAAATTGTCTTTTATTACGTTTTCAAAAACTATATCATGGCAATGAGGCATTTTTCGGACGTTTTTGTATTTTGATTCGTTTGCTTTATATTGTTTGTGTACTTCAGTTGATGAAGTTATTCTATTCTGAATTTGCCCATCTTTTGTTAGCTTTGAATTATGTGCAGTTGGTGCTGCCAAAGGATCCTGAATTTTGTACCTGCCAAGTTTACCTGCTGACTTTCCTCTATTTACACCTGTATTGCTCAAAGTGGGGAGCATTTTCTTTTTCGTAAGTGGAAGGGTGGCAGACATGCGCGTTACTTCCTGTGTTTCACTTGGAGATACGGACGTAACTGATTTCTGCGTTTGGATGATGGAGGGAGAGGAAAAGTGTTGTCTTAAGCTTAAATGTTTTCTTGAAGCGTATGGAGGAGAACTTTTACCGGGATTCTTATTTGAAATTGTCGCGTGAGCTTTGCTGGAACTTCTTTTCCAAAAACGTAATGTTTTAGATAATGAACGAAGTAATCGAGGCCCTTTTGATCTCGATAATGATTTTTCTTCTTCATCACAATCCTCACTTTCAAAAATACCACTATCGACATTACGTTCCTTTTGGGCCATTTTTAGTAATTGATGCCGGCGTCAAGGCAGGTTAAGGCTTGGTTATCATGAATCCAGAACAACTGAACTAGTGGCCGATGACTTGACCACCTGAAAGATAAATGTTTGTAAACAAATCAAATTGGATGTCCGATCATATGAATCAACAACATTCAGTGGTTTAATTATGCCAAATTTCAATTTAAAAAATATAAAATGTTAATTGTTTATTTCATGCTTATCAAATACAATATTAGCCTTCATATGCTCCACCATGAATGGGCTGAGGCATATGGTGTATATATCCGTCTTCCATCCATCTATATGCAAACTTATTTTGTTAACATTCCGATTCTACACACAAATACTCTGAAGTTGATACTTAAAAGTTGCTAGCATTTCTGATTGACAATATCAATGTACTTTGGAGACCAGGTCTTACAACAATCCGCTGGAAAACCCATGCGTACAGCCGAATTTAATCAAAACCTTCAACATGAAAAGAAATCTCTATAGCTGTGGCCTTCAATTCAACATTTAGATATATCAACGACGTTTATCAATTTACAATACTCATTCTCATTCCTACGTTGATTCGATATATCACTTTGAACTCGAAATAAGACAACACAGAGTCTAACACATCTGTTTCTAATTTGGATAGTTTACTAAAGAGAGTGATGGCACAGTAACAACTAAACTTTGTGATAAACGCGATGACTTCAAGTTTTCTATCTTTATGTCCCTTATTTATGTAGCAATAAATTATTATTACATATGGAGTTATGTCTCGATAGTCAATAGCGTGTTCTACAATGTACATACGAACAAGCTCTAAAGCGAGGCAAGCTATTTGCAAATAAGTTTGTGAATGAAGGATTTCAGCAGTCTCGCTGATGTCAACATTTGCAAAGTCTATGTTCGATACAATTACCTTGTTAGCAAACACAATCTATCGTTAAGTCGAAGGTTTATTGACGTTTTTCCTTTTTATATTTCTACCTGAACAGTCTACGGATTTTCCGTTTACCCTATCGTGACAAGGAGCACAAGGCGGGAGTTACCGTTTGGCGAATGATGCTTCCACTTCATGGCACCTGATCCCCTCTCTGATGTTTTTAGAGGTCCATATTTGTTCTGTACACAATTTGTTTTGTTCCTATGGACTTTTGAGATTGATTTGTGTTCTTTATCTTCATATTTTACTATGAAATTGCATATGTGTTTGTTTGTAATGCATTTACCTGTGCAGTGGTTGATATATATACATGTACACATATTTCTTTCGTAACCTTTTCTCTTGACATGGAAGACACATATATGTACATTTTTGTGGTTGCCGCCAAGAATATTACAATGGCAATGTATACGATACGTCCACACAGATAGAATTATTAGAGCTGAATACATTGAACTCTGCTGTGTTCGGAACATTTCATTTTTCCGTGTTCAGCAAATTATAATTCTCGATGATTTCAAAGTAATTCTGGAGAGATTATAAAGAGACTGCTGAGAGACTGTCAAGAAATCAGATAAATTATTCACGGAAATAATTAAGCTAGGAAATAGTGTTTATTGACTAGCACGTGGAGACATGATTTAAACAGACGTTAAATATTACGTTTTGTTTTTCAAGACTTGATAATATCAGTGGATTAAATTAATCCATGTCTCTCTCTGGTATAGTTATTCAAACTTCTTCAATCAGAGGTCACTTTTTTTAGTTTCATTTATAACTCTGTGCTAATTTGTTGTGTATAAAACTTTCTTTTCTGACAAAGGTGCATATCTAGTGTACAAGTCATTGTCGAAGACAATCCACAATCTTATGGTATATAAAAGAAACAGAAAATATCATTGTTCTGTTTACAATGGCTTTCCTTTATCAAAACTGGTTTCGACTTGCAATTTTCGATTGGATCATGGGAGAGCTAAACCGCATCTCTTGAATTTTAATTACAATAACGTTCGCAGGGATGAGCAATTTATAGGCTTATATAAGGGCTTAATAAATATTTTAAGCCGAATGAAGAGAAATGTGGCGGACAAGTATCTTTCTTTAACGAGTCGTGCTCAGCTTTAAATTGGCTGAAGATGTTTAGATTTACTCAAAAAAGAAATACACAGCTAGGTTAAGGACTCCCATGTTTACATCAGCCTGTGCAGGGTACGGGAAAAACATTTATGATGTAAAGTTAAAACAATGCATATGAATCTGGATGAATAAATATATATATGCCTTTTTAATTAATTGTATTAAAAGATAATACGAAACAAGGAAGAACTGACCAAGGTGGAGACATATTCCTTAGTAAATTAATTCCCATTTTTTATTCTTAATATTAAAAAAATGAGAATGTACTATAGAGTCTGACCTTATACAAAGCCGTAAGAAGGTTTATTATATAGTCTATTTATAGTCCCTATGTAATCTATACAAACGCAAACAGTTCATAACAGTACATATTCACCGGATTTTAAGCCGTATTCACCGGAGGGTCGGTGCGCGTGCAGCGGCATTGTGACGTCACAATCAACACCTCAAAAACGTTGAAAACAACGGTTGCAACGACCGGAGCCAGCTGTGTATCTGAGCAGGAAAAACATTAACCAAGCCTATCGCAGGATTATTTTCTAAACATTTCGATTTGTTACAAACAGCAAAAGGAAAACACGAAAGCCATAACTTGTAATCTGGACATTTATTTTATTTTTCCACGACAGAATTTCGTAAATGAAAGTGGTATCATCATGCAGCCTACAATTTCTTATTTATTCAAATCCGGACTATATAATAAAACGATTATGGACTCTTTCGGTGGCGAAAGAGTCCATAATTGTATAATAGTGCAGTAATACATGTAATAGATGGGCAGGAAGGCCGGGTCCCTCGATCGTAAATTGCAAAAGTTCGACGATATCCGCTTCACTAAAAAATTCTGAGTTTCAGCAGAGACACGATATATACAAATACAGACAGCAGAATTCCCATTCGTCCAAAAATAAACTGTTTATTTATTAATTTATTTTGGTTATTGTATACATTTCCATGAATTATTTTAAGGCATACTACAATGTAGTATTCCCTATGTGCGTATTTAAAGCTGAACACGACTCTTGAATAGGTATACGCCATATTAGTTTTCCTATCTCCGACAGTCACGGTAGCCCAGTCAGTAGAGCGCTCTCTCCTTGATCGGAAGGTCGTGTGTTCGAATCACGGCCGCGACTGACCTAAGTCGATAAAAAATAGGTAGCAACTGTTCCTTCGCCAGGGGATCGGCACTTTGAAGTGAAAGTTGCGGGTCCTTCGGATGATACCTTAGAAACCGAGGCTCCTTGTCACGGAAGGAGTTGGCACGATAGAGATCCCTCACTGATCAATGGCCCTGAGTGCCGAGTAAAGGTCTAAATTTTAAGCCCTTCACTGGTATATGGTGACGTCTCTACAAATGTACGAGGGGTGATCAAAAAGTTCGTAAACTATCTCTATATTTACAAAACCGCAATTCAGACCAGAATGAAATTTGGCATACATATAGTCATACACATGTTCTAAAAATAGCAGATGTTATATAATGTTTTGCTCCGTGTTTGTGACGTCACAATGTGAAAATGACGTCACTATGTAGGTGACTTGTGACAAAAAATGGTTGACTCAGTCGTACTCGAGCAACGAACGCCTCTTAAGTTTTACGTATATCTTGGAAATTCCTTTGTAGTAGAATATGATAATTTGTACAAGGTTTATGAAGACAAAAGACTTACCAGAAGTTCAATCATTAATTGGATTGATTGTTTTAGTGAAGGCAGGGAGATGGTTTAAAATGATGTTTGTTCTGTTGCCCGGTGAAAGCAAGTCGGGAAAAAGATGTGTCCTTAGTTGAGCAATTTGTCATGCAAGATCGCCAGTTTACAATTAGAAAAATAGTTGAATATATTAGCAATAATATAATTATGAAATCCCTAAAATATCGTTTACTTTAGACATTAAATATGAAAAAAAGGCGCCCATACTTTATCCACATTGGATAAACGACGCTCCCGAGA